TGGTATTTTAACTAATTGGTATAGAAAACCAACACACTGTGACCAACTTTTGAATTATAATTCTCACAGTCTGGTTTCTCAAAGAATTGGTACGATTTGTGATGTGGTCGATAAAATAATCAACTCGTCGGACAAATATTTTCACTTAAGAAACTTCGAAATCATGTATAGACGGTTCCTTGCTAATAAGTACCCAATACAATTCAGTAATATATGTTCTAATAAAAGGGAAAAATATTTGAACAATAGCTATACAAGTATTAGTCAAAATTTAGAATTTAATCGACAAAAAGATGAGTTTACAGTATTACCACACTCGAAAAATTATTATTATGATACTTTACGATTACAACGTAACTAGAACCTCAGGATAATTTTTACAAATATTGATGAAATTGAATTAAACGGTCAATTGGGTAAAGACATAATACATAAGAAGCATAAACCTGACATAGTTTATAAAATACAATGTAATGATCGTTCTTAAGTTTATGTTGAACATCAAATGGGACTTTAGAAAATAGACAATCAAATTTGACTTTAAAAACTAGAATTAAGAATCATACAAGATCAGTTAATAAAAAAAAATTGGAAATCAGCTCTATATAAACATGCTGATGAAACTGAACATACTGTAGATCTCGATACAAGTAATGTAAGGATTCTGGATGTCGAAATCAATAAAAGAATAAGAAACGCATCAGAAATAATGCGTATCTATTTGAATAATAATAATAATAATAATAGACAAACGGATACACAGTTTTTACCGCCAACAATCAAAGAATCTTTCCATACAAATTTTAGATAAAAGTATTTGAATGCAAACCTTTCATAATACGAATTTTAAAAATACGTGTAAAATAAAATGCATAAAATACACAGTAGATATGCAGGATGTTCGAATTGCTTTATCAACTTGATAGTCGTGACACGGAATTAAAGTTTTGGTTTTGTTTTCATTATGAGTGTTGACGTATAAGAAACAGGTCGTATGATTATGCTCTTGACAAATTTCGCAATTGCTGAATTGATATAATATTGGTATGTATTTGTATAGTTTTTAATAAAAAGTTTTTTTTGACATGCAATTATTGCAGTAATATTAAATTGTATATTTATATTTGTTATAACTTAAAAATACTCTAAACAGAGAGTTGAAACTTTTCTTACTAAACAAAATTGATTTGAACATTATACTGTTCGATTTTTTTATTTATTCTATTTTATACATACTTCAACACTACCCAGGAGGTAAAACGATCGACTTACTACTAACAAATAATATACATAAAAGTGAATGATAATTAATCTTCAATTTTTATTGATTTGTAGTATGTTTTATAAAACACCGTTAAAATTTTTTTCTTGTAATCATAAAGTTATTCGTGTATTATTTTTTTCGTAACTAATATTACATATCTAGTTATCTTAATTTATTATCGTTACAAGGTGATATGAATTATGCAAATCGCCGTATAAATATCACTTATCCTAATTTTATATTATTCAAATAAATATTTTATTTTTAATAGGTTTGTTGAAAAATGATTCTAATGCTTGTAGATAAGTTAAAAATTCAGTATGATTTTAAGAGGTAAACAAAAAATATTTATACATTTATCATCGTATCAGTTGGCGCATATGTAGATGGCTGCACTTTTATGCAAGCACTCTTCAAAACCATCTATGCCCTTTTTAATAGTAAATTTACTAACGACTAATAATCGAAATCCCCATATTTTTTATTTCAAGAAAATTTCTTAAGAAATAAGTTCAAACCAAAAAAATATTCTCCCTGGACGCGGATCGAACACTCAACCTCGTGTTAACTTGACAATTGCTCTACCATTTGAACTGCCGTAATATTGATACATTTATCATCGTATTAATTGGCGCATATGTAGTGGAGCATAAGTGGTAAAGCAGATCTTTAGTAACCAGGAGGTTGTATGCTTGATCCGTATCTGAAGGGGAATTTTTCCTCATTATTATTTATTATTTCAGAAATTTTCTCGAAATTAAAAATATGTGAATTTTGGTAAAGTCTTTTGTATATTTTGCTAACGAAAAGGGCATGAACGGTTTTGTTCGGATTAGAAGAGGCCTTTCAAGGATAAGGGTTATTTTTCACCTCTAAGGAGCTCCAGTCGGCTACTGACTGGTGGGGAGCGGCACACGCATGATTTTAACTATCGAATTTAATTGTATTAACATGAGTAGTTTATTTCACTTATGTGTGCGTCGCCCCCGCTCGTCTGCCTTAAGCCTACGCGGGGCTGCCTGCCTTCGCGACTCGAGCCGATCGGTCTACTCCTCGCTTGGTTGTCTCGCGGATAGCAAGTAGCCGCTTCTTCATAGCTACTAAATTAAACGCACACGAATTGTTTCTTTCGTGGTATTGCAAAGGACTTTCTACATAGTTCCTTATTTTGTCTTACTACCTTATCTCAAAGTAACTTTGAAATCTTCGTTCGCTATTAGGTAGAGAAATATTTCGAGAAATACTGAGTAAATCTATCAAACTGGATTTACTGGCATACTGACATTTTTTGTTCAGATTAATTTTCCTTGTAACCAGATATTTCTTTTATCATTATATGGTTTCATATTTTTATTTTTACTTGTTTACTCTACTGTTATTGTTAATAAAAGAAACACGCAAGAACTTAAAACGTAAAGTTTTGGAAGAATTGATTTCATTATTTCACCTAAAAATTCAGTCCTCTAAATCGGCAAGGAAAATCCACATAAGTTTTTTTTTTACAATTCCACAGAAAAACTTAACAAAATAACAATTTGTCGGCATAAACGAATCGAAATTCAATTTATGGCTAGAATTTCAATTGAGTCATAAAGAATTTGACACGGACATTTAAACAGGTTTTAAAAAGTGCTTACATAAAAGTGCCGCCAGCTACATATTCGCCAATTAATACGATGATAAATGTATCAATGTTGCTTGTATACTTCTGCGAATCATATCAAATTTTTAACTTATTTACAAGCATTAGAAGCATTTTCCAATTTACCTAAACAAATCGAGCTTGAGGTAAAACAGCTCAAAAAATTAAAAATAGGAATTTATCCAAATCTACAGTGTAAGTGAATGTACGGCTTCTTGGTAGTTCAAACGGTAGAGCAATTGTCTAGTTAACAGGATCATATGTGTTCGATCCACACCCGAGGAGGATATTTTTTCGTTTCCACTTGTTTCTTAAGAAATTTTCTTGAAATAGAAAATATTTGAATTTTGATTATGAGTCCTTAGTATATTTGCTGTCAAAAAATGTACGGATGGTTTTAAAGAGTCCTTACATACAATTGCCGCCATCTACATATGCGTCTATTGATACGATGAATAATGTTTCAATATTGCTGGTATACCTCTTAGAATCATAATGAATTTCTATTTTATTTTTATTTTGCATCTTAATAATGCCACATATAATGGACAAATTTTTTTCTATGTTGAAGAGCAAAACTATCTCCATCAGTATTAAAATCTTCTGTAAAAAACTTTTTTTTTTATTTCACATTTTGTCACCTTGGATGTTGTTTTTTAAATTTATAATCAAGCGAAAAACTATCTTAGTTAATATGAATACATGACAAAAACTGCCTTCTAAAAAATATCATTAATTTGACAGTCATGTTTGAGCATATTGCAATTGTAGGAAAAATATACCATATTTATCTCCATTACACAATTTTATTTCTTGAAACGATACTTTAATTTCTTAAACGGTAATAAAGTTCAAAAAAAACATTCGTGATCTTTTAAGATACTAAATTTAATGTGCTGATAACAGTATTTTAAAATTTAATTTTTGTTTTTTCAAACTTGAAATGTATTATTTTAAATTAAGTGTTCCGAAATGTTCACGTACTGAAATAATATACAGCAAAATTATCAATTTTGTTGTATTCCAACGAAGCTGTAAGTGGTGTTCGATAACTGTTTATAATTATAATATTGATTTCTATGAATTTTTTTTTTGTTGATTTCTGTAATAAAATTACATTTATTACGAACATTTTCTCCATCATTTTATTGTTTACTACAGTTTCACTCAATCTGATTTTTATTTACAACAACCGTTTTTATTTTTTTACAAAAGTCATTTATTATACTTTCTTATGTTCTTATTATCACTTATTTGGTTTGTGTTATTTATTTTATTCCTAATAATGTTTTTTTTCTTAAATGAAGTTTATTGATAGGTTGGAACAGTTGGCACTTAGTATGCTTTACAATGCGAAATGAAACAACGAGACAATTGAGGATGCTCTCTCGTCTACTTCTCGTCCGTGACCTCCCAAAAATTTCCTCTCTCTTGCCTTGACGCCAAAATTCTCTTCAGAGGGCGTACGCACACGCTGTTGATAGGGACTAGCGGGAGAGATGCAATCTTAACAAAACCGCCCGCCTTCGTCCAAGACCAACGCGATGTAATTAGATGCCACCCGCTGTGGGCGGATCAGCGTTGGAGACAGGTTCTCCATTGGCTGACGTTGACTTGGAGCTAGCCACATGAAGGAGAGCTATCTTTGTAATCGGATGAACGTACGTCCCCGTAGCAGTCTGAACGGTGGAGGCCCTCACGAGACCGTCCTTTCTCGGGTTGACAGTGGTAACTTTACCGAGGGGCCATCGGTCACATGACTGAAGAAGTGTTGGGTCGAGGACTGCGACCAGATCACTGACTGCTAGATTTTGGCGAGGTGTTGTCCACTTGGATCGCTGCTGCAAAGTATGAAGATAATCGTGGTTTCAACGGGTCCAAAAACGAGCACGCATGTCACCCACGAGGTTCCAATGAGTGAGCAAATCTGAACGTTCGGATGGAGCCTTGGAGTCCACCACTGACTGGAGAGGCATGCCAACAAGAAAGTGTTCAGAAGTCAATGCATCCAGGTCATCGGTGTTTCTGGGATGGAGGGCTATAGGGTGGCTGTTCAGCACCATCTAGATACTGACGAGGACGGTGGAGAATTCCTCATAAGTTAGGAAAACTTATGAGTCTCTGGAGATGGCCTTTGATGGATTTGACGGCAGCCTCCCAAAGGCCGCCAATGTGAGGTGCTCCGTGAGGAATAAAATGCCAAGGAATACCTTGCTCCGCCAAAGTGCCAGCGATGACGTCCCTTTTCAGCTCTGCTTCACGCAGCGCAGCTTGGAGCTCAACGTCAGAGCCTCGAAAGCAAGTCGCGTTGTCACTCCACATTTCGGAAGGACAACCTCGGCGTCCAATAAAGCGAGAAAGAGCCCCGAGAAATGATACCATAGACAGGTTGCCAACAGACTGAAGATGTAGTGCCTTGGTAGTGAGGCAGACGAGAACTGCGATGTATCCCTTGGTCGTTCGGATTCCTCTGCCTTTGGATGATAGCAGGGAGAAAGGGCTGGCGTAACCGGTTCGAGCAAATGGACGAGACAGGGTTAATCGAGTGGCTGGCAGGTTGGCCATCAGTTGAGAAGAGGGCTGATCTGGAAGACGGGCGCAGGTCACACATCGGCGCAGATAGTTCTTCACCTTGCGAGGACCACCCACAATCCATGCCCTTGGCACTACGTAAGCATTTGTGACACAATTTCCTCCATGTAAAGCTTGCACGTGGGCAAATGAGATGATGAGTTGAGCGAGCTTGCAGGATCTACTGATAAAAGGCGGGTGGCGCTGTTCGGAAGGCAGTGTAGCGTTCTCAAGCCACCCACCAACGTGCAGATTTTCAGAGTTGACGATAAAGGGAGCCAAGGGCGTCAACGGGTGTTTCTTTGGTAGAGCCTGCCCACTGAGGACAGTGGTCATTGATTTGTGAAAAGTTTTCGTCTGGCTAAGCTGAACACAAGCTAAGAAGACGTCGTGAAGCTCACCAACCGTTGGCGGCGACGATATCGGGCGTGTCGGTTCTCGGTTCAATCGTATTCGGGTCCAGCATCGAATGCGTACAAGGAAGCGAAGCAATCGATGCAAGTTTGAAAATTTTTCGAGCTCGTTAAACTGATCCTTGCGCTCAGCGTGGACAACAGACAACGAGGGGGACACTGGCTCAGGCGACTCGTGCGGCCATGTAGGGTCGGGGTCAGCAAGCCAGTCTGGTTCACTTCACCACGCCTGGTTTGACGACCGGTCAGACACATTAGCGTCTCGGGTGGCGATATCAGCGGGATTATATTGCGTGGGCACGTAATGCCAAGAGCCTGAAGGCAAAATCTCTGGGATTTGAATGACGTAGTTGTCGACGATTGAACAGCCGGTGGGCTCATCAAAGTGGATCCAATGAAGGACGATCCGAGAATCGCACCAAGCATGGCAATGTTTCATTGGGATCTCGAAGTTGTCGGCAACTGAGCGGAGCAACTTAGCACCGAAGAGAGTGGCCCATAACTCGAGGCGTGGTATGGTCATCCTAGGCTCTGTAGAGGCTGATGGTCTGAGGCTGCAAACAGCAGCGAGCTTCGTGCGAGTGAAGAGCAGCCGACAGAGTGACTTAATCAGAAACGATTGTACCCAGGAGTACACGGCGGCGACCATGAGACGACGACTAGCTTCAGAAAAGGCGTGTAGATAGGAATTGGATGGGTGTATGGTGCCTAAATGCAATGGTATTTGGTGCCGTGGTGGACTGGAGAAGCCAGAGATGGCACGCAGTTGCTTGACAAAGATTGACCAGCGCGTTGACATGGATGAAGGGACTGCCTCGTCCCATGCCAAGCCTGCCCATATAGGTCTTGCAGAAGAAGCTTTGTACGTAGTATGGGAGGAGCGAGCCACCCACATAGATCAAATAAGCTCTCAAGAGCAGCAAGCATAGTACGTTTCGTCGAAACAGGTCCAATGGAAGGCGGACTTAGCCGAAAAATATCTGAGACTGGATCCCAGCAGACTCCAAGCTCAATGACCGATCCCTCAGTGCTGAGTTGACGCCAGGTGGAGCGAAGTCGAACCTCTTCTGGAAGGTCAGCCAGTTAATTGGAGAGTTCGCCACCCACTTTTGCAGAGAAAATCTACCAGCGTTCAGAAGACCAATAACCTGATCACGGATGTGTCGAGCAGCCTCAACGCTGTCGGCCCAAGGAGGGTATCGTCTGCGTACCGATCAGCCATCACGACAGGAACTGCTGCTGGCCATGCATGTCCTTCGTCTTTGCAGAGCTGCTGAATCGTTTGGAGCGAGGAATACGGCAAGCACAAAGCTCCATAGGTGACAGTGAGCAGCTGGTAGTGCATTAGAGTGGTGTCAAGATCTGAGCTCCATAAGACGTGCTGAAGATTCACGTCCTCTGAGTTGATCCATGTCTGTCTGAACATCATGCGGATGTCATTACGAAACGCTTCACGGTGCCTTCTCCAGTGCAGGAATAAAGAAGGCAGGTCGGCTTAGAGTCGTGGTCTGAAGTGGAGGACGTCGTTTAAGCTGTAGCCGCTCGATGTTAGTCTTAAAGCATTGAAGACGAGATGCAATCTGTGCTTTTTGTCTCCGACTTGCCAGATACCATGGTGTTGCAGGTAATGGACTTTCTGACTGTTATCGACAAGCAGATCGTTAGTCAGTGGTCTCACAGCATGTAGCCCAGCTCCAGATATTCTGCCATAAATCTTTGGTACTCGGTTGCCATCTTGGGAGATCGTTTGGAGCCAGAGAAGGTGCGCTCGCACTCGATGTCGTCGGGTGACTGTTGGTGCACACGGGGACCGTCCTCAAGCTCTCAGAAACGTTGCATTAAGGAGATGAGTCGCTGATGCCAATGGGGCGTTGGGTCATCGCTCAACGTCACGTACACAAGGCTCGAAGATGAAGCGTGAGCTTGCGCTCGACCGGTAAGAATCCATCCAAAAACGGTGCACTGGCCGAGTAAATCACCACGTTAAATGAGGCCAGGCTTCAACAGCTTATGGTACACGTCAGCTCCTATGAGTACATCAATTTTGTTTGGTGTTCCAAATGCTGGGTCGGCCAGATGATCAAGATCCATCCACTGTTGCACTGAGCTCGGGTCCAGTGGAGCGGCTGGAAAAAAGAGGCCGAGTTATGGCAGACAAACTGCAGTCGTGGTGATAGTGGAATCGTCGTTCTCGGTCATGATGATTAGATGCGCCCTGGATCTTGAGCTGACTGTGTCCATACCGCCGAGGCCAGTGATATTCGACTCTGAACCCTTGAATGAAGCTCCGAGCCGCTTTGCAAATGTCGTCGAAGTAGCTGTGATCTCGGAACATGGATCCAGCAATGCTCTGGCAGTCACGACTTGTTCCCCGGTATCTCTCAATCGGACGTTCGTGGTGGGAAGAACGGTTAGTCAGAAAGAGCTGGGTCTGACAGGGTTCGTTAGCGAACTAGCCGTTGGATCCTGTTTCGGCTACTTTGTCACCTGGCTCTCATTAGGTGAGCTGGCTTGTCGCTTGCGAGCGGAATTATACAACAAGCTGTGGTGCATGGCTTGGTAATGCTGGCAGACAAATTTGGAAGTGCAGGCCCTCGCAGAATGTCCAGCCCTGAGACAGTTAAAACAAAACCTCTCTCTGTAAACTAGGTCCTTTTAAGTGCGTAGTACGAGGGACTGGAATTGAGTGCAGTGATCGATGTAGTGGTCACTTCCACAAGCGGGGCACCCTGAGGATATACGTGCGAGCTGCTTGAGAAGTTGCCGTAGAAGTTGTTGATTATGAGGAGCATGATGCCTCCACGGAGCTGAGAGCACGGCACCTTTGCCAAAGAAAGTCTGTCAGCACCTTAAATGTGACAGCAGCCCTGGCAGGCTCTGCGATAGTCATCTTTAGTATCTCCAGTTCGTCCTCCCAGGAATGTCTGGTTGTGGCATCGATGCCCGAGGCGCCAAAAGATATAAGCCAGTGATCCCAGTGATCCACAGTACAGCCCAAGGCTCTCAGTTGGTCTCGATTTTTTTTCACTGTGTCGAGCAAGGATTAGAGGCCAGACGTGGACTCATCACGGAGTGGTTTGATACAACGAAGTGCCATAATGTGGTCCTGTATCAAAAGTCGACCATATTCAAAGTGAGCTTTGAGCAAACTCCAAGTGGTCGCGTAGTTTGCTCCAGACACCTGTATGGCATTGAGTGTCGTCTTCGCCTCGCCCTGCACGAGGGACTTGAGATAAAACAGATGTTCAACTTTTGTCAAGACGTTATTCTCGTGAACGATGGCACGAAAGAGGTCACGGAACGTCTCCCAATTCTTTCGTTTGCCAGAGAAGACAAGAATGTTGATCGGAGGAAGGCGTCGTCTACCGTGCTCGACCACATCTGGTGCTGGTCCCGAACTGCCTGATTTTGGATATGGACAAAAGGTGTTCTTTGCATTATAAATGAGAGCCTTCGCCGTGATGCAATGAACCTCTATGATCGCATAAAGCTTGGTCAAAGATGTCACATCGTCCTTAGGAGCATGTTCTAAAAGCTTGAGGTGACTAGTCTGGAAGCTGCTCCAGTAGCCTTCCAACAGTTCAAGCCGCACTTCTACACTCCCGAGCGTCTACTGGGTAACCCTGATGACCTCAACGTTGGCAGCAAATCGAGAGACAACATCTACTACAGCTCTGTGAGCATCTAGCATGATGGCTCTATCTCCATCCTCCCTGTAAACAGGACATTGTAAGTTCAACACTCTTTACGCAAGTGGAAACTGCACTATCTCTTTCTTTCTTTCTCTAGACTGGCACAGGATCATTGTTATTATCTCAATAAAACGTGAGAACTCATCCCAGTACCCGTCCATAAATACTAGTAGCGTACTCTCGACGAGTGCGCATCAGCATGTCGGGCATGGTGGTTATGAGACGGTGTGGATACTGCTCTCAGTACGCATTTTCATCAACAATCATATTTTGCGTTTGCTGGATTGCGGACTCATGCATGTAATTCGCAGTGTGAATACTCGGCTATGATCGCAACTTCTCCTGCACAATTTGCTTTTATACGGATACTCGCATGGTCGCTAGGTTAGAAGTTGTCTATCCACCGCTGTGTCTCGGGGATCCGGCTGGAAGGATTAATGTTTCTTTTCTTAAATGAAATATATTGATAGGTTGAAACAGTGGGCACTTAGTGTGCTTAATAATGCAAAATGAATCAACGAGACAATTGACCACGATAATCTTGAGAATGCTCGCTCGTCTACTTTTCGTCCTCAACCTCCCAAAAATACCCTTTCTCTTGCCTTGATGCCAAAATTCTCACCAGAGGGCACGCGCACACGCTGCTGATAGGGACAAGTGGGAAAGATGCTATTTTATACTTAGCTACCACCTTAACTTTTGAAACCTACCTTCCATCCCAAATCCTATGGTTATAAAAAGGAATACCATTAGCTGGGGGTTCGTGCGTGGAGCTCATAGAGAGACGAAGCCTCATTAGTATATAAATAAACATGTATATGGTGGGCCGAAGCAAACAAAATAGTTGAATTAAGCTAGTATGTATGATGCATCGAAGAAAATTCAAGTCAATCAATGCTACAACGGCTCATGAGTCTGATACGCGGAATGGTCAATTATTTGTTAGCTTTTAAGAACCTAATAACTTGATTGAGCCAGCACTACTGAGAAAATACCCTTGACATTGTTCTCGGAGATGCTGATAAAACGCTTTCGAAAAGCGATGCTGAATTCCGTAGGCATAAGACCGAGAGTGCAGGCAAAGCGTAGACCTTTCCGTATTCTTGAAAACATGCTTAATGACCTGCAACGACGGTCTGCGATTTAGTACCTTACAAGCACCGCGTTTTTTCCTGGAGTGATCTACATGTGGTTCGTACTTCGTACCTCTGTTTAATCAGTGTTATAATAG